TTTAGGGTTTAGCATCGTATTTTGTGATCAGAAAATTAAGTATATTGCTGCTGATACCTGTGCCACAGTGTTAACAGTGACCAAGAAGAAGTCAAGACTGTACTGGAAAAGATTCCAAAGACATAGGTCATAAGAATCAAGTTCATGATACTTCTGCTGCTTAAAGAGGATGTGGGTTGCTATGGTGATGGGATCATGAGGATAGAGAAAATATGTGAAGGCCAAGAGACGTTAGCTTATACGGACATTGTCCAGGGCAGGGACTGGTGTCCTCTCCCACAATGTCCAGGTTCTTTATGCCAATCTTTCATTGCTTTCACTGCTATCCTTAGGGACTTTGGAGTGTCCAGAACAGTGGAGGCATTTGTGACTTTAAGCAAAGCAACATGAACAGTTGTCACTTTTCTCCCAAGACTGATCAAGTCTTTCAGAAACATGAGGTACAGGCTTAAATGCCAGCTTCAGTTCTGCTGTGCTGTATGATTGTCAGTCTCAGTTTTTTCACCTGTAAATTGGAGCAAATAAGAGTTCCTCTTTAGATGGTAACTGAGATGGTTAGAAGAGGTCAGGAAGGCGCCGGGCCTCTCTCTCTCCCTGTCACATGGCAAGTGATTAATTTGCTTTGTGCCATTGAGTTAATTCTGATTTGTAGTGGATATATATATATATATATATATAGTCAAAGACAGGGAAGTTTATTAAGCTAGAGAAACATTCTCATGAGGGTGGCCCATTTCAAGAGATAGAGAGGTGAGAAAGGCCTGATTCATAGTGATCTTATATGATAGAATAGAATTGCTTCATAGGGTCTCTAAGGGTGAGATTTGAACCACTGAGAGCTCATCTATTGTGTCACCAGGTCTCCTTAGTGACAGTAACATTGGCTATTATTATTGGTTATTATTGTCATGGTCATCAACAGGCCACTCAGTTTACCTTCAGGTCCAGGACCAGGCCCCTGTTAAACATACTACCCCCTTCCTCTTCCTCCTACCCTGCTGCAGGACTTCTCAGTCCATCAGAGCACCCCAGGTGCTGAGTCATGGCGCCAGCAGCTCCCCTGACATGACCTAACTGGTGGGGAGGGGCCAGGGAGTCAGGTGGCATCATCCCAGATTCCAACGCGAGTCTCACTTTACTCTGTTGTGAGAAAGGACTGTTTTGCAAGGCTGTTGTTCTAGAAGATTTAGCAGCAGCAGGTTTAGAGAGAAGGCTATGTAGGTGCTCAGTCAATGGTCCTATCCTCACTTTCAAGGCTTCTCTCAACACCTGGGTGTGCGGTTCTGCGCTAGCTGTGGGGGATGGACAGCACACACGATTCAGATGACTTCATTATGAGTTCATTGCTAGTCCAGTTTCTTTTTTCAGTGCAGAATTGGTTGTTGTTGGTGTGCACCGTCGAGTCAGAATGGACCCATAGCTGACTCTCCAGCAGGTTTTCAGAGGCTGTAAATCACCCGACAGGAGATTGTCCATCCTTCTTCCGTGAAGCAGCTGGTGGATTTGAACCATGTGCCTTTGGGATTTCAGTGCAGCTTCTTAACAGTAGGTCACCAGAGTTCCCATGCAGAGCTCCCCTAATTCTGCCAAGGTTCAGGTAGAGGAAGCCGAGGGGAGGGACTCAGTGGCCTGGAGGTCCTGCAGAACAAAGTTGACAGGAAGGCCTGGGGGCTGAGGGTCCTGCATCTGCAAAGGTGCGGAGGGGGTGGGAGGAGTTTGTGGGACCGGTGGGACAGATGGGTGAAGCTGGAATGAGGGTGTAGTGGCCAGGTCAGAGAGGACCTGGAGAGACACTGATGAAGCTGACTTTGTTAGGAAGCAGGGAGAAGGGACGAGTCAGTAAAGGAAGGATTTACATAAGGAGTGATAGGTGCAGATTTTCATTTCCAATAGATTTTTTTCCCCCCTGGTTGCCCTGTAGAGTCTGAATGAGGAGGGGAGGGACGGACACAGGATGAATTCCCTTCTGATCATCCAAGCAAGAGCAGACAGAGGCCCAGACCAGGGGGGCGGCGGGGAGCAGGAAGATGGACCGGACGCAGAGGTATTTCGAATTGAGGATCACGGAGCAACTAGCAGCAGAACGGCGGTTTGAACAGAAGTCGGCCCACACGCTTTCTGCTCCTCCACTTCTCCACCAACAGCCTGCACGTGGGTGAGCCTGGCCTTTCAGGCCGAGACCCTGCCTGTAGAATAGACCTTCAATGAACAGGTGGCTACAAACAAGCTGTTGTCAACTAGATTCTAACTCACAGTGACACTTGGAGTGTCAGAGGGCTCCACAGGGTTTTCAAGATCCTTTTCTCCAGAAGTGATGGCCAGACCTTTCATCTGAGACACCTCCGGTGGACTTCAACATCCAATCTTTCAGTTAACTAGCGGAGCACATGCACCATTTCCAGTTTGGTGGCCTAGTGGTAAGAAGCTGCGCTGCAATCTTGAAGGCACACGGTTCGAATCTACAGGTCACTCCATGGGAGGAGGGGCAATCTACTACCACGTGATACGCTGTCTCTGAAAACCCACTGGAGAGTCAGCTCTGGGTCAGTCCCTAGACGATGGAACTCAACAACAGGATCGGTTCACTTGCCAGGACTCGAGTAGCAGAGGCACCGCTGGCTCAGTACTGCCCTCTGGTGTCTGAGGATGGTGGTACCATTGGCCACTGAAGGGCCTCTCAACTCCGTTCTGGATCTGGCAAGTTTCTCTACTCTTTCAAATTACGAGCCCATACTCATGTCCTGCCCTGTGTGTTCAACCAGCGTGGTGGTGCAGCTCCTATGCTATCTGGACAGATGGACCTAGGTTCATGTCTTACCTCCTTTCACTCCCTGTTAGATGACACAAGCAAGTCACTTGCTGCCTTGGACCTTGCCTTGCTCCTCTGTAAACTGGGGATGAGGGAGCCCTGGTGGCCTAGAGGTGAGAAGTCGCCACTTTGGTGCTGCAATTCCCAAGGTGGTTTGGGAGAAGAAGGGGCAATCTCCTGCCGTGAGGTTTACTGCCTCTGAAAATCCACTGGAAGGTCAGCTATGAGTCAGTTCCGACTTGATGGCACGTATCAACAAAACGACAAAACTGAGCGAGCCACTTCCTGCCTTAGTGGGTGGAGCATTTGTCAACATCCACTCGGATGTTCATCCCAGGGAGAGGCATCACGTCTGAGCAGCTTTTTCCAGCCCCTGGGCATCCCCCTCATACAGCCCAAAGCCTCACCCTGTGTTCAACTCTCTCTTGGCACTGGACACTGAAGCTGAGGCCTCTATTTTCCAGCCTGTAAAATGGGCTCACAGATTCTATCTGCTGTAGGCTTGTGTGTGAAAGGCCTCTGCAAACTGTGGAGTGCTGGGCCTTGGAGCTCCGCAAAGACCTTCTCCATGTGGCTGTGGTCTCCTCCGGGCTGGGCTCTTCAGAGGCTGAGCTGAGTGAGGTGGAGATTTGAGGCGCAAAGGGAGTCTTTTCTAACTGACGACACCTCCACCCCGCTCACCGCCAAGATTCTGGTACTTTCCATCAAGGACTAGATGGAGAGGCGAGCTCCCAGCTCCATTCTCTGGCTGTGTCCCACCTCCTCATTTGAGGACAAGTTTTGATCTGTTGGTGCAAACTTATTCTGACAGATAAGACTCTACTTACATAACAGGAGTTATGAAATGGCTTTATTAGTGACTCCAATGTGTACACAGTTGTGCATGAAGAAACAGCTAACATTGGTCAGTGATCAGCCCTGTCACTGGACCCAAGTGAGCTCAGCCAGCTCCCTCTGGCCCACGCCTCTCCCTCTGTCTGAGGCCCCATCTTGGCAGTTTCACTGTTCTCTCAGCTCTGCCTCAGGGCATCTTCCTCAGCTGTCGCCTCTCCCCCTGGTTCCCCAGAACTAGCCTTCTGCTCTTTGGGCACACATGGGGACATGCCCCTGAGACCCAGTCATCTGTGTTGCTACCACCCACCCCTCCCACTGGGGAAAATCTTTTGGAGAGCATTGATGTGGGGATGGCCAGTATCCCTGTATCCTCAGGGCCTGAGATGTGTGCCATTGGGAATCCATTGAATAAACTTAATGAGTGTGTGAACAAAGAATGTGGGTATGCTAGAGCCCCTGTCTTTACTACTTCTTAAGGGTGAGGGTCACGGAGGCCACGTCCCAACTCGCTGTCATCTCTGGAGGTCATCGCTGTACGCACTGTTCATCCTCATGGGTTGCTCTACCGAATCCAATATTTGGGTTCCTTGGCCCTTGTTGCCTGTCCCTTCCTGCCTCCACCCCATGGCCTGCATTGGTTAAATGATCGCAGACCCATTCACTGCCATCAAGTCAGAACTGACTCAGAGATGACCCTCCAGTGGGCTTTCAGAGGCTCTAAACCAATCACACAAGAGGAGATTATCCATCTTTCTCCCAACGAGCCCTTGGTGGATTCAAACCTTCAGAGAGGTGTCCCCTTTGGGTTAGAAACACAACCCCCACCAGACCTCCTTAGGTAGAAAGTGGGGACTAGAGGAATTTGTTTTGAGGAGCAGGAAAGAATGAAAGTGAAATGGAGGGTGGGGGCAGGACAGAGGAGAGGCCACCGAGAAGCTACTGGGAATTCAGTCATGAGCCATTCACTTCATGAATGTTAAGGCAGGTGCATCACTGCTCAGCCCTGCGGACCTCGTCCAGGGAACAGGTATCCCTGCTTTTCAGGTCTAAAGGGGAGCCCCTTGTAAGAAGTGGGCTTAGCCACACTCCCTAGCTGGGACACCAAATCTGGGTGAGTCCTGGAGGCTGAAGGATGCGTTAAGCCTTGACTTAGTGCGGGAATCTTGGGAACTGGGGATAAAACACACCCTCTAGTCATTAAGCATTAGTTCTCCCCCGTCCTGCTGGGCCACTGTGCCAGGGGAGAAGGGTCATGTGGGTGGGTGGCATTCCCCTACCTGGAGAATGAGGCACCAGGAACAAGAACGAAGGTGCTAGGGGCTGGCAAACACAAGCACAGAGGTAGCCGGAGTTGTCACTACTTTGTGGGGGACCCCACCGCCCCAACATCCTGGAGCTGTTCCTCAGAGGCCTTGTCAGGGAGCAGCACCTCCACAGTATAACTGACCTTCTTGGCATGCATCAGACTGTAGGTGTTGTCAAAGCGCAGGACATCTGCAAAGGTGGACAGGTGTTCATTGGAGTGGCCAGTGGAGGCAGAAAAACCAGCCCTAGGGCCCTTGGTACCAATGGGTCAACCTGCCAGTCAGCTATGGTCTAGCCCAAACCCATTTCCTCTCACCATTTGATACTTATGCTACTTAAAACCAACAGCACACAGTAAGTCCCTTCTATATGCCAGGAACCTAACACTTTTAACTTCTTGGATCCTCAAAGCAGCCCTGTGAGTGAGGAAGGTCAAAGCCAAAGTCATTGCCATACAGTTGGGATCGACCCATTGCTGACCCTCCAGCAGGTTTTTAAGAGGCTGTAAATCACATGGGAGGAGATTGCCTATCTTTCTCCCTCAGAGCAGCTCGTGGATTCAATCCGCCTGACTTTGGTTTGGCAGCACGACTCCTTACTCAGTAGGCCACCAGAGCTTCCTGTGAGGAAGGTACTCAAAACTCACTGCCATTAAGTCAGAACTAACTCACAGCTGACCCTCAGCAGGTTTTCAAGAGGCTGTAATTCACACAGGAGGAGATTGACCATCTTTCTCCCGTGGAGTAAAACTGCTTACCCACTAGGCCACCAGAGCTCCCTCGTGGATGCAAAAACCGTAGTATCTATAGTCATTCACCCCCACATCATCCCTATATATTCATCCCTCAACCCAGGGAGGAGACCTGTTGGCTCCCGAGCAGAGGGCTGAGCGTCTTCTTTAATGCCAAGGTCAAATGTAAACTCTGGGACTCGAGGTGAGCCCTTGGATTTCTCTGGTCTCTACTTTGCTCACTCTTTCTTGCTTTCCATCTTCGCATGCGTTGTTGGCTCGTGCATTTAGTAAAACACTTTCTCCTCCATCAGAACTTGACCTTCAGTTCTCCGTTTTCGAACTGTGTTCCTCATAAGGGTGGAAGGCTAGGATATTCATAGGCGATGTTGTTAATATAAAAAACAAACACCTGGACTAGGAGGCCTGAGGATGAATGGCTTTGAGTTAACACATAACGCCCTATGGACCACCAGAGCCCCTGAATATTGCATAAACAAAGGGAGTTCTGGAAGTGTGGTTCATATAGAGTTGTATTGTTAACCCAAACATGGCATTTCTCTGATGGGACAAACACACGAGTGGTTCTGAGGGAGAAAGGTGAGCATCTGAGCCATTCCTAAGAGCTCTGGGCCAGCTAGGAGTCAGTTCTCTACGGTAATGGTTTTGTTGTGGTTGGTTTTTTGTTTTGGTTTGGTTTTTTACTGCCTGCTGAAAGCCCACTGAAAGGTCAGCTGTGAGTCAATTCCGACTCAGGCCATGAGTTTTTGAGCTGAGATTATATAATTGTGAAGTTGGAATTTTGCCTTGTGAGCGAGATGCCACCAAGGCAGAAACAGGAAAAGTGAACGCAGAAACACTGGCGATAAGGCTTCTCTTTACTTGTCTCTGAGCCTGAGAAGCCCAGTGTGGGCCTTCCTGGTTGCCGAGCTTCCATCCCAGCCGGGTGAAGTCCAGTTCTTTCTCTATAGTGAACCAGTGCTCTGCTATCCAGACTTGGGGGCGCTCACACCCCAATGCCTGGAGCCAAGCTTCCTGGTACCTGTGGGTCTCGGAGTTTACAGAACCCCCTGTCTTTTCTTGAGAGCTGGTATTAGAGTGGGCCTGCAAGCCTGGTAAGAGACGACCAGCTGTCTACCCACCAGGAGACCAATTACTGGAATGAGCACTTACAGACACCCGCCTTGACGCACGTGAGGCTCCCGTCCTCGGGCACCATGTGGGCGTTGTAGCGTTCGCTGCCCAGCACCTCCGTCATCTCGCCTGCCCGCTGCCGCTCTCCTATCTTGGTCTTCAAGAAAACCCCAAAGCCGATGTCACCTCCTTCTGATGCAAACTGCCACCTGCAGTGGACAGAACACAGGCCACTGCCCAGGCCCCCAGAGCGCCTCCCAGCTGTGCCCAGGAATGGAGTGGCCGCCTCCCCTACCTGAGCACACAGCCCGGGAACAGGATCTCGTTCTCCACCTGCAGGGAGGAGCCTCGGCCCACAGACTCCGTGTGATCGTACTGCATCTTCACCTGGTTGCGCTGATAGAATCTCTTGGGCACGAAGCCTCCGTACTGGATCTGAGGGTGGAGGCAGGTGAGCGGGCACTCAACTTGACCATTTGCTCCCTCCCTGTCCTCGGGGCACCTGTATACACCTTGGTCAGGCACTTGGGGTTCCCATCGGGGTCAGTCATCGTCCCCCCAAACTCTGCAGGCAGCTGATCGGGGCTGATGAACTTCTGTAGGTCCTCCTTCCAGTTGGCTGTGGGGGGATCCGGAAGGAGGAGTTAATCCGGGGAGGAGCCCGACAAGCTCCCAGCTGGCTCTCATGAGCCTCTGTTTCTAAGAGCATCTAAAAGCTTTACGTGGTCACTCAGGCCACCCCTTCCCCGCTGTGACTGGAGAGGTCATCTGGGGTCATGCTAGGCCGGTGTCTGAGACAGGAGGGCCGGAGAGTGATGGAACCTTCAGTCCTCATCTGCTTCCTGGCTGACACATGGAGGTGGGGGCTCGGTCCAGAGGCCGAATCACTGACCTCCTAGAATCACTATCTTCTTGCGCGTGTCCTCACTCATGAATGACTTGACCAGGTTGAAGGCCACCGGGAACAGCTTGGGGGCTGAAACAGATGCAATAGCCTGGAGAAGGTGGACCAGAAAGGACTTGGCCAAAGTTAAGGTCATTAGAGCTGGAATCTACCACTTACAGCTGTGTGACTTTGAGTCTCCCGGTTGTTAACTGTGAAATGGAAATTACGTAGAATGTGTTATGTGTAACACCGGCCAAGGCGCCTGGCTCTCACCAGTCAGCCGCCTCCCAGAGCCTCACTGTAACATGTGAGCCGTAAGCAATTCCCATTGCCCAGTGGTCCTTTGTCCTTCTACATTCAAGGTCTTCCCCCCATGTTGCCTTGGAACTCTCTCGAGTACAAGTGGCCCAGGAAGCATCTGCGTTAAATCTCACGTTGCACCCTAAATCACTTATCTTCCTGGGCACTTTCAGTGAGCTAGGTTCTGTGCTATATCATCTCTATGCATTTAAGCCTCAAGGGTCTTTTGTTGTGGTTGCTAGGTGACATCAAACTGATTCATAGCAACTCTAGGAATAACAGATTTGAACTTCGCCCCATCCTGCACCATCCTTATGACTGACTAGCACTGGGAAAGTCTGCTGTTAGGGACCTCTCCAAAGTCTTGAAGAGCAATGATATCAGTTTGAAGACTAAGGTGTTGCCTGATTCAAGCGATGGTCTTTTCAATCAATTGTTATGCATTTGAGAGCCAGACAATGAATAAGGACGACAGAAGAAGGATCGATGCCTCTAAGTTATGGTGTTGAAGAAGGGCATTGAATATGTCATGGACTGTCAAAGAATGAATGGGTATGTCTTGGAGAAAGTGCAACCAGAATGTTCCTTAGAGGCAAGGATGGTAAAATGTCATCTTACATACTTTGGGCATGTTGTTAGGAGAGGCTATGCCTTGGAAAGGGAGAGGAAATCCCTCACTGAGATGGACTGATACAGTGACTGCAGCAATAGACTCAAGTGTGTCAGGGGTACAGGATAGGACAGGGTTCAGATCTGTTGTTCATGAATGGTATGTGACTTGGCGGCACCTAACAACAACATTGCAAGCCACTCCCAAAATGGACAAATTGAGGCTCAGAGTCACAGAAGTAGCTATACTTGAACCCAGATCATCCCTCTGGGTCAAGAGTACATATGGAGCTCTGGTGGCCTAGTGGCAAGAAGGTGCACTGCAATTCTGAAGGTGCATGGTTCAAATCCACCAAAAGCTCTGATGGAGAAGGAGGAGCAATCTTCCTGTGCCAGCTGGATTCGACTTGACGGTACACAACAAGGAAGAATGGTGGCTGGGGGTGGGGCGGAAAGAGTACACGGTACACAACAAGGAAAAATGGTGGCAGGGGGGCGGCAGGAAGAGTACACATAGTGAACTCTGTTGTCAGGAAATCAAAAGATGAATTGCAACAGGGAAATCTGCTGTCAGGGACTTCTCCAGAGTACTGAGAAGAAGCAGTATCAATTGGAGACCAAGGTGTGCCTGATTCAGGCCATGGTCTTCACAATTATTTGCTATGCATCAGAGAGGGGGACAGTGACTAAGGATGATAGAAGATTCAATGCCTTTGCGTTGTGGTGCTGGAGAAGAGTCTTGAACACACCATGGACTACCAAGCAGTCTTATCTGTTTTGGAGAGGGTGAATACAAGTTTCTCCTTGGAGGTGAGGATTTTGAAGCTCTGTAACGCATACTTTGGGCATGTGGCCAGGAGGGACAGATCATGCTCAGACGGGGGGGGTGGTGTGTGTGTGGGGGAGGGACAACACAGGAGAGGAAGACCCCAGATGAGATGGATTGATACAGTAACTGGGGCAGTGGGGGTAGGAGTGTTGGAGTCAGTGAGACTGGCTCAGGACAGGACAGGCTTTGGAACTGTTGTATATAGGGTTGTTATGGGTCGCAGATGACTCAACAGCACCTACCACCATGACCACCACTATATGACCATTTCAGACAGCATTCTGCTCACGGTGTAAACACCAACCAATGTTATCCCTGAACCATCTGTTACCAGTGCACACCGAACTTAGTAAAGCAAACAACAGCAAATGTTCGGAAATGTAGAACTTATTTCAACGCAACATACTGGGATATGTTCGTTACGTAGAACATACATGCTTTGTATGTTACAAAAGCATCAGTCTGTGAAGGACTGACATGAAAAAGAAAAAACAACCAACTGTCCAAAAATGGTTCTTCATAAGTGATGGTTTGAGAAGCACCCTGAACTCATGAGCTTACCCACTGTCCCCCAACTCCCACCTTTTCTATTTCCTCCTTCCCTGGAAGATCATGTCACTCACTTCGAACAGCAATTAAATTCTTCAGTGTCTCGGGGTAATTTGCTTCCAATGTGGCAAAAAACTGTGGGGTCAAGATAGGTCAGGTTAAGACTGTGCCCACTCAGGATCCTCAGTCGCACTCAGGACCCCTAGTCCCGGATCTCTGTAGTCCCTGAACTTTGCTGCAGTAAGATAAGAGGCCCTTGATAGCTCTGGTGACCTGGAGAGTCCTGGTGGCCTAGTGGATAAAGAATTGAGCTGCCAACTCAAAGACAGGTGGTTCAAATCCACCCCGCACTCCAAGGGTAAAAGATAAGCAACCTCCTTCTGTGCAAGTTATAGCAATGAGTTGATTTCAATTTGACAGCACATAACAACGGCAGCACAGCCCCCTGTCTTCCTCTGATTCTTGCCCTTTCTTCTCTTGGGAAGGTGGATTCCAGACAAGGTTGACTAACTGGACTTTGACTCTCCCTTTATTGGCCCAAGAGCCCTTGTGCCTCCAGGCCCAGGCCAGCCTCCCGCTTTACCTGCTGGTAGACCTCCACAGCTGGCTTCCACAGATGTCTCAGGCCTAGGCCTTCCATGTCAAACACCATCACCACTGTCTCGATCTTCCTGCCCAGCTGCATGGGAGAAAGCAGGTCTGTTGTCACACAGCAGATCCAGCAAGGATATGCTGACTAGAGAGACTCGGGCACTTCTGCCCACCTTCCTGTCACCACGTGGCACGCTGCCGGAGAGCTTCTTAACAGATGGACTCCACCTAGGGCCTGAGGAGAGGCCGCAGCTGAACCTGAAACAGTCTGGTTGAAACTGTCCACTTGAAGACCTCATTCATGACTCCTTTGTGTGTGAGATCATATACTACATCAGTGAAGGGAGTTTTGGTGGCTTCAGTGGTAAGGAATTGCACCGCCAACCCAAAGGTATGCAGTTCGAATCTGCCAGCTTCTCTGCAAGAGAAAGATGGGCATCTTTCTCCTGTGTGATTTACTGCTTCTGAAAATCTTGATAGGGTCAGCTATGAGTCTGTTCCCATTCGATGACACACAACAAAAACGTTAGTTGACATTGCTTCATGCAAATCCTAGATGTGTGGCTGTATAGGCAGTGAGATGCAGAGTGGGTTTCAAAGCTCTGAGGTTTACTTTCCTCTGTTTCAAGATGAGGATAATTTTAGATTTTTACAGAAGAGCTGCAAGGGTGTATTGAGATAATGAATGAAGATTCCATAGGTGGGTCCTAAGGAATATTATTAGTATCAGCAGCAGCAGAATCAACAGCTCCAATGAAGAATACTCTCCAAGTGGCTAATAATTGTGTTGCTGTGTTGTGTGACTTTAAATTGCGCCTTTGGAATTGCAGTGCAACCTCTTGCCCCTAGTCCACCAGTGCTCCCTGATGTTGTTGTTAAGTGTCATCAAGTTGTTTGCGACTCGTAGCAACCCTATGTGCACCAGCTCTGAACCCCGCTTTATCCTAAGTCAACTTCATCATCTCCAACACACCCACCCCCATATCCCAGTCACTGAATCAATCCATCTCATTGAGGGTCTTCCTCTCCTGAACTGTCCCTCCACCCTCCTAAATATGATGTCCCTCTCCAAGGACTTTACCCTCCTTGCAACATGCCCAAAGTATGTCAAATGGAGCTTCAGAATTCTTGCATTCAAGGAGCAGCCTGGTTTCACCCTCTCCAGGATGAACCTGTTTGTTTTCCTAGCAGCCCATGGTATATTCAATGCTCTTCTCCAGCACCACAGCTCAAAGGCATCAATTTTCTATCATCCCTAGTCACTGTCCAGCTTTCTGATGAATAGCAAGTCATTGTGAAGACCATGGCCTGGATCAGGAGCATCTTAGTCTCCAGACAGACATCATTGCTCTTCAATACTTTGGAGAGGTTTCTGACAGGAGATTTTCCTAATGCAATTAGTCTTTTGATTTCCTGGCTGCTGGCACCAAGACTGTGTTGACTGTGAAGCCAAGCAAACTGAAGCTGTAAACAATCTCAATCTCTTCACCATCTATCATGATTTTGCTAGTTAGTCCAGTGGTGAGAATCTTTGTTTTCCTGATGTTGAGCTTTAATCCATACGGAAGGCTGCAGTCCTTGACCTTCTGCAGCAAATGCCTCAGGTCCTCTTCCATATCAGTAAGAAAGGTTGTGTCATCAGTGTAGCACAGGTTGTTGATGAGTCTTCTCCAATCCTGATGTCACATTCTTCCTCATAAAGCCCAGCCTCCGGGAAGATCTGTTCCACATATAGATTGAAAAGGTATGAAGACAGGATGCATCCCTGACATACACCATTCCTGACTTTGAACCAGGCAGTATTACCTTGCTCTGTTCTGATGACTGCCACCTGGTCCATGTATAGGTTTCGCATACACACAATCAAGTGTTCTGGGATTCCCATTCTTCTCAGAGTTAGCTACAGTTTGTTGTGATTCACATGGGCTCCCTGAAACTTGTGTTAAATGTATAAAATCAGCCAGTTCTGTCTTGAAGACACGCCAACCATTCAAACCACTGTTATTGAGTTGATTCCAATTCATAGTTTAATAGGGCTTGAATTGCTGACCTTTCAGGTTGTGTGTGCTTAACCACTGCCTCATTCTAGTCAAACCAGGCACCGTTAAGTATGTCATTGCGATGGTTAGCTGCTTTTGAGTCAACTCTGACTCATAAAGACCCTTTGAACAACAGGTCAAAACCCTGCGCCATCCTTGCAACTTGGCCAAGCTCAAGCCCATTGTGACAGTCACTGTCTCAACCCATTTCTTTCAGAACCTTCTCTTTCATTGGCCTTCTATGTTTCCAAGCATATTTCTTTTCCCAGTAAACATGGAGCTTTGCAATTCTTTTTCCACTGTCATAAATCTCTACCAATATGGATCCTACTTCCATACTGATCCACTACTATGTGCTTGACATTGCCCTGGATCCTGGGGACACAGGTCCTGGGGACCTTGGTCATTCACGCCCATGACAGAACAGTGCTCCCCAGGGAGCCATCTACACACCTAAACACATGAGACCAACACAGGATACATTTGGCATTGGATTCACTTGGGGAGGAGGGTGTCACTGGCCACAGAAGCCTGTTGATATTGGGGGTCAGCTCAGGTGTAAGAAGAGCTGCACCTGGACAGATGAAGATCCTCATTGATGTGGAAGCTCCTGCTTCTAGGACTCAATATTTTCTGTAGCATCTCCACAGGCTCAGCTCTTAGGGTCCCCATAAAAGATATGCCCCAAGTTCAAAAGTCCCTGCTCTCAGGGATCCCAAAGCAATGGCTCCCCCGTTAAGCTGTCTGAACTTATGCAACTCACCAACCAGGGAACATCTTTGTCAAAAGCAAAGCTCACTGTCCACTAGGGCAAGCCTTTCGGGGTCTCAGTGACAGAGTTTGCTGCACCCAAGGGCAGCATCTCATGCTAGGGGACCCTTGCCTCAGGCCAGCAGAGGCAGCTAGATGCTGTTGGATGAATGCCTAGGAGAGAAGCCCAGCTGCACCGGGCTGAGTGCTGAGGGCTGAGAGAGGAAGAAGGCAGGTGACGCCTTTCCCTGGTCTTAGCGCCCCCTGCCGGCAGGTGTTGCCTGGCCCAGCCTCTCACCTTCTCGCTCTGCAGCTCACACTCACCTTCTCGCTCTGCAGCTCACACTCGCGCAGAAGGATCTCACAGGCCTTGATGCGCTTCTTGATCATCTCCTGCTTGGAAGCTGATAATAAGAGGCCCTTGGAATCCAGGTTCCCGATGATGTCAAACCATACGGGGCAGCCTTCGTAGTCGTAGCCACACAGGCCCCCGGAGTCATACAGCTGGATCACCTGGACGTGCAAAGGACTCCAATGCAAACCATAACCCCCCCCCAAGCCATGCCGCAGCTCCCCCAGGGGTCAAGGCTGGGGGAGGGGTGGGAGCGAGATGGAGGGTCACTGTCACCTCTGGGGGCTGCCATGTAAGGATGTGGTCCAGGTCCTGTTGCTTCCGGTACTCGGCGTGCTGCAGAGACAGGACCAGAGCTGAAGGTCTCGCCTGCCCCAGAGGACCCCTCTGCCCAGAGCCCCAGAGGACCCCTCTGCCCAGAGCCACCGGGGAACTTGTCAGAGCATGCCCAGCATCACCAGTACAGCACTGGATACAGGCTAGGAGGGAGGGGAGGAGGCAGAGATGCAGCAATGGATGAAAGGAGGGAAGCAGTAATGTGGAAACAGATGGGGAGAGGGTGTCACACTTGTTGCCAAGCCTGGGGCTCGGGCGTGGGAGGCAGGGTGCCAGGAGGGATGGGCCCTCACCTGGCGGAGCATGTCCTCAGCTTTCTGCAGGTCAAAGTTCCTTGCTGCAAGAAGTGAGAGAGGAGGTGTGAGACCGGATCCAGAAAGAGCTTGAGGTGACGATAGAGGTCACTAGTCTGGATTTTTTTTTTTTAAAGCAGAGATCTTTGATATTCCAGAAGGTTTTGAGAGTCCTTAACTCCAGTTTGTAGGCTTTTAAAAATGGCTTGTTCTAAAGGGAGCTCTGGTGGCCTACTGGCAAGAAGCTGCACTGCAATCACGAAGGTGTGCAGTTCAAATCCACCAGATGCTCCGCTGGAGAAGGAGGGCACTCTCTTCCTGTGCCAGTTGGATCTGACTTGATGGTACACAACAACAACAAAAATTAAGAAAAAATAAAGAAAACAGAATCCAAAATAGGAAAAGTCAAAAAGCAAAAAATGGTTTGTTGTAGAGGTTGCTTTGTTATTATCGTTGTTAGGTGTATGAACAACAGATCTGAACCTTGGCGTGTTCTGTACCATCCTCTCCACCTCTGTCATGGTCAAGCCCATTGCAGCAGTCCCTGCACCAACCCATCTCGTTGAGGGTCTTCGCCGACCGTCTGTATTTCCCAGTATGATGTCCCTCTCTCTCTAAGAACTGGTTCTGTCAACCTATAATATTTGACAACACATAGGGAGCTCTGGTGGCCTAGTGGTAAGGAGCTGCGCTGCCAACCCAAAGGCAAGTGGTTCGAATCTGCCAGCTGCTCTGTGGGAGGAAGATGAGCAATCTCTTCGAGCGTGATTCACCGCTTCTGAAAACCCTCTAGAAGGTCAGCTATGGGTTGGTTTTGACACAAAGGTACATAGCAACACAACTATAATGGGACAAGAGATTACACTTCCCCCTCAGCCCTAACATATATACAGGTATACAGTGTGAGGGGTGGGGAGGGGCACTGACTTTATGGCAGATATACCTAGGCTGGTATTCTAGTTTTTTCTTTCATTGTATTTAAATATAAAAACGTTTTATTTTTTTTTTTGCTGCTGCACATTTCCCCGCCTCCCCCTGCCACTTGTTCCAGATTATTGTCATACATGTAATGCCTAATTACATATTCCTTTCAAACAGTTCTTCCCCTCATCTGTTCTAATGTAATGTTCATTATCTAGCCACTCTTTTCCCATTCTCTCCCCAACTTCTCCATGTCTATTCTATTTTACAATAGCAGTGTTATACAGTATTTGTCCTTTTCCGATTGAGATATTTCATTCACCATAATGTCCTCCAGAGTCCCCCATGTTGTTTTACAAGTTCATTGTTTTTCAGTGCTGCATAATATTCCATTATGTGAATATACCATAGTTTTGTTTTTTCTTTTTAAATCCATTCATTTGTTGATGGACACTTGGGTTGTTTCCATCTCTGCTATTGTGAATAGGGCAGCAATAAACATGGATGTACATACATCTGTTTGAGTTGTGGCTCTGGCTTCATTTAGATTTGTCTTTTAAAAATGATTTTCTAGGGAGCTCTGGTGGTCTAGTGGCAAAAAGCTGCACTGCGGTCCCGAAGGTGCACATTTTGAATCCACCAGATGCTCCTCTAGAGAAGGAGGGGAAATCTCCTCTTGTGCCAGTTGGATCCAACTCGACAGGACACAAAACATTAAAAAAAATATCTAAGAACAATTTATGGTGTGATTGTGGGCAAGGCCCTTAACTTCTCTGAGCCTCCATTTTCTGTTTGTTACATGAGAATCATGTCTTACTTCAGAACTATTTAGATGATGGCATGAGATAAAAGAGATACAGTTTTTGGCAGAGTAATTGGCTCATAGTGAGTTCTGGAAAAAAGCCTCAATTAGTGTCATTGGGGTTGTGCTGTTAACCCAGAGGTGACCCCTCTCTGGTTCAAACCCATCAGTGACCCCATGGGAGAAAGGTGGGCGCTTTCCAACCTGCTGCAGGTTCAGCTATGGATTCGTTCTGACTCGACAGCAGTGAGTGAGTGGGAGCCGACATAGCAGTTACTGCTCAGCTGCAAACTGAAAGGTGGGTGGTTCAAACCCACCCACCACTCTTCAGAGAAAGATGTGTTAATCAGCTTGAGTAAATATTCCAGCCCTGGGGAATCTCATGGGGATCTTCTGCTCTGTCCTGTATTGTTGTTAAGAGAATCGACTCAGTGATGACAGGTGTTGTTTTGATCATTTATTTCCACAAATAAACATATATTCATTGAAAAGCATGACATCCTGTTTTAGGAATGTCGTGTGCTCAGTGATGAACTAAACCAATGATGGGATCCAGGATCAGAGGTTGATAAGAGGTGGGGACTGAACTATCCTGATCACCGACTCCCACAAAAACCCAATGAGGGTCACCAGCTTTCCCTTGAACACTTCCCATGATGAGCAGCTCACTACCTCAACATTTTCGTTTTGAGCATCACAATGAATTACAGTCTCATTGTCAGGCACCATTGGGAATCTAGGAAACCACTTGTCCCTGTGGCAACCCTGCAAATATTTCAAGAAAAATCATCACGTTCACCTGCTCCATCTTCTTTCCAGATTATGGATTTAGGAAACTCATATTGTGTATTCACGATGTGTAATTAAATTATCTGTGGTAACTGGATTATTGTTCTCTGGCAGCCACAACTGAACAAGGCTGCTGAGGACTTGAAGTTAATGAAACACAATTCTTTCTTTTCATAGGTATTTCTTTTCTTTCAACATTGACCACAGTCTCCAGTTCTATGTTTAAATTTAAAGTGTTCGTGCCTGTTGTTAGGGGCCATAGAGGTGACTCCTGTGCATAACAAACTACGTACAGTTGATCAAAACCCCTGACTGATCCCGTGCCATAATCAGCTTCTTTTGACACCCTTATTCCCTAGCATTTTAAAGAGGTCCTTGACTGCAGATTCACCCAATTCAGTAAGTGGGTTGATTTCTTGACTGCTACTTCCTGCTGTGTTGATTCTGGAGCCAAGTAAAGTTAAATTCTTGGCAACGTCACTCTTTTCACACTTAGGCATGATGTTGCCTGTTGGCTCAGTTGTAAGGATTTTAGCTTTCTCGATGTTGAGGCATAAACCATACTGAAGTCTTTGATCTTGTGGAGTAAGAGCTTCAAGTCCTCTTCCCTTTTAGCAAGCATCAAATGTGATAGTTAATTTTTCATTTTTAATTCTACTATTCTGTTCAAGTGCTTTCTTGTGCATAGGGTTTTTGAAGGCCTGAATCCTTTTCCCTAGTAGGCCTTAATTTAGATGTTCGGCTTTAGAGTGATTCCAAAAAAGAAGATGATCTGATAGAGTGTGGATATTGTTGAACTGTGTGGATCATAACAAACTGTGGCTGACTCTGAGAAGAATGGGAATCCCAGAACATTTAATCATGCGAATGCGAAACCTATACTTGGACCAAGAGGCAGTCGTCAGAACAGAGCAGGGTAACACTGCATGGTTCAAAATTGGGAAGGGTGTACGCCAGGGATGTGTTCCATCTCTATACCTTCTCAACCTGAATGCAGACCAGATTATCCAAGAGGCTGGGCTCTGTGAGGAGAAGTGTGGCATCAGGATTGATGGAAAATCTATCAACAATCTGCGCTATGCAGATGACACACCCCTGCTTGCTGAAACTGAGGAGGACCTCATGCACTTGCTGCAAAGGGTCAAGGACTGCAGCCTTCAGTATGGACTAAGGCTCAATGTCAAGAAGACAAAGATTCTCACCACTGGACCAATTGGCAGCGTCAGGATGGATGGCAAAGAGATTGAGATTGTTCACAGCTTCAGTTTGCTTGGCTCCATGGCCAACACTCTTGGCACCAGCAGCCAGGAAATAAAAAAACGTATTGCGATGGGAAAGTCTGCTGTTAGGGACCTCTCTAAAGTACTCAAGAGCAGCGGTGTGTCTCTGGAGACTAAGGTATATCTGATACAGGCCATGGTCTTTGCAATCAGGGAGGATAGAAGGAGAATTGATGCCTTTGAGCTGTGGTGCTAGAGAAGAGTATTGAATGCACCATGGACTGCCAAGAAAACAAACAGATTCATCCTGGAGAGGATTAAATCAGGCTACTCCTTGGAGGCAAGGATTCTGGGGCTTCGTCTAACATACTTTGGACATGTTGTAAGGAGAGACAGGTCCTTGGAGAGGGACATCATGCTTGGGAGGGTGGAGGGACAGTGCAGGAGGGGAAGACCCTCTATGAGATGGATTGATTCAGTGACTGGGGTAATCGGGATGGGTGTGTCAGAGGCACTGCGATTGGCATAGAATAGAGCAGTGTTTAGGGCTGTTGTATATAGAGTCACAAGTGACTAGATGGCATATAACAACAACAACAACAACAACAACAACAACATCACTAATATAATATGCAAGCAAAATCTTCCTGAAGATCATGCAAAAACGACTGGAATAACACATCGATAGAGGACACCAGAAATGTAAGCTGGGTTTAGAAGAAGCCATGGTATTAGGGTCATCATCACCAAGGTCAGATCGATCTTGGCTGAAAGCAGAGAGTACCAGAGGAATGTCTATCTGTGTTTCATTGATTATACAAAAGCATTTGACTGTGGGATCACAACAAATTGTGACTGACCCTGAGAATAACAGGAATCCCAGAACACTCAATTGTGCTCGTACAAAACCTAAACCTATACTTGGAACAAGAGGCAGTCATCAGAACAGAGCAAAGCAGCACTGTAATGGTTCAAAATCAGGGAAGGAGTGCATCAAGGATGTGTCCTGTCTCCATGTCTTTTCAATCTATATACAGAACAGATCATTTGAGAGGCTGGACTTTATGAGGAGGAATGTGGCATCAGGATTGAAGCAAGACTCATCAACAAATGAATTATGCTCAAGACACAACCTTACTTGCTGAAACTGAGGAGGGCGTGAAGCATTTGCTGCAGAGGGTCAAGAACTGTAGCCTGCAATATGAATTGAAGCTCAACATCAAAGAAACAAAGATTCTCACCAGTGGACCAATTGGCAGCATCATGATAGATGGTGAAGAGGTTTAGATTGTGAACAATTTCAGCTTGCTTCGTTTTACAATCAACACTCTTAGCATCAGAAGTCAGGATATCAAAAGATGGATTGTATTAGGAAAATCTACTAGGAGCAGAATCCACTTATTAAACAACATGCCTCCAGAAACTATGAACTTTGATAAATGTCAGTAGTTGTAGAGGGGCTTCAGGCCTTTTGTTCATAGGGTTGCTGTGAGTCATGCTTCACTTGAAGGCAATCAACAACAACAACAACAACAACTGCCAGGGACCTCTCCAGGGTGCTAAAGAGAAAAGATGTCAGTCTGGAGACTAAGGAGTGCCTAATTTAGGTCCCGGTCTTCACAATTACTTGTTGTGTACCAGAGAGCTGGACAATGACCAAAGATGACAGAAGAAGAATTATTGCCTTTGAGTTGCAGTGCTGGAGAAGAGTATTGAACATACAATGGACTGCCAAGAGAACTAACAAGTCTGTCCTAGAGAGGATTAAACCAAGCTGCTCTTTGGAGGCAAGGATTCTGAGACTTTATCTGACATACTTTGGGCATGTTGCCAGGACAGATTAGTCCTTGGAGAAGAGCATCATACTTAGAAGGATAGAGGGACAGCGCAGGAAAGGAAGATCTCAGATGAGATGGATTGAGACAGTAAATGGGGTTATGACAGCAGGTGTGTCAGAGACAATAGATTCACTCAGGATAGAGCAGGGCTCAGAGCTATTGCACATAGAGTCACTATGAATCCAGGTGACTTGACAGCTCACAACAACAATAACAATAACAACAACAACATTCTGTCAAATAACACTGATATTTTCTTGACACTGATATATTTTCCAAATGTTCAACTATTCATGCATACTTTAGATTAACTCTCCTTAACCACATTGTGAAAGCTCTGGGGTCTAGCAAGTAAAAGGTTGTGCTGCCAACCCAAAGGAAAACTCAATGCTATCAAGTTGGTTCCAACTCACACACCTGATGCTCCACTGGGTTTCCCAGGTTGTTACCCGTAGGGGTGGAGGTTGACCAGCTTTCTCCTGTGTGGATTCTAACAGCTGGAAAAGCACAGCCTATTTGGGTCAGCATAACAACTCCCAATGAAGTAGGCTACCAGTGCTCCCTCATGCTTCTTTGTATGTACATTAATAAGTAAAGGGCTTATAATTTCCTTTTCTTTTATTGCCTTAAGCCAGCTGATGACAGAGGAATTTATACCTTCGAGTTGTGATGATGGAGAAGTCTTGAACATATCATGGACAACCAAGAAAACAAATAGGTCTGTCTTGGAGAGGGTGAAATCAAATTTCTCCTTGGAGGCTAGGATTTTGAAGCTCTGTCTCACATACTTTGGGCACGTGGCCAGGAGAGACCAATCCTTGGAGAAGGACTTCATGCTCTGAAGGGTGGAAGGACAGTGCAGGAGAGGAAGACCCCAGATGAATGACTTGACACAGTACCTGGGGCAATGAGGGTTGATGTGTTATAGTCAGTGAGGACAAAGTAGGGTTCAGAGCTGAGTTGCAGGCAACCTGATGACATATAACTATAACAGCTACAGGCTTCATATAATACCTTTTAGGCTTTTAAATACTTGACAACAACTAAAACTTTGGAAGAAATCATCTCTGAAACTACTGAGGTCTGAGTTTTGGGAAAGGGAAGAAGTTTCTGGGCAACTCAGGCGCTGACAGCATTCTCTTTTTTTGCTTATATATTGGGGTTAACCAGAGTGCCTCAGTCATGCAAAAGGTTAACATGAACATGCTCAGCTGCTAACCAAAAGGATAACAGTTCAAATCCACCCAAAGGTGTTTTAGAAAAAAGATCTAACAATCTACTTCTGAACAGTTAGCACAGTTTTTCTCTGCCTCTCAGGGGGGAATCATGAGCCGGAATTGATTCTACAGCACCTGGTGAACTGGCTGGAGTTAATGCGCCAGGGAGCAGTGAGGGTGGATGCTGAAATGGACAAGGGCTCAGAGGCAGTGAGTCACACAGGAAGAGCTTGTCCACCCACCCTTCTTCTGTGGAGCAACTAGTAGATTCGAACAGCATGCCTTTGGGATTGCCAGTGTAGCTTATTACCACTAGGCTACACTCTCAGCTGGATCGATCACCTTTCTTTGGAATGAGCATAAACAGGCATCAATATGAAGGGTCAGCCTCTGGTGCTATATCTGCTAGTCTAATGTTAAGTGCACTCTGTTATACACAGAATTTTCAAAGACCTTTTATTTCGGAGGTGGGTGGCCAATCCTCCTCTCTAGTCTCTCTTGTTTCCCTGGTCTGTTTTAATGTTGCCAGGAGGGACCAGTCCTTGGAGAAGGGCATCGTGTTTCAAAGGGTGGAGGGACATTGCAAGATAGGAAAACCTGGCATGAGATGGATTGAATCACTAATGGGTAATGGGGAGAGGTGTGTTGGAGACAAGGAGAATGGTTCAAGAGAGGACAGTGTTCAGAGTTACAGTACATAGAATCGCTATTAATCGCAGGCAACTCGACGGCACATAACAACAACAAAGTAGTTGAGGCTCATAGTGATTCCATGGACCACAACAGATGGAAACCCTGTCTGATCCTGCCCCATCCCCACAATCTCTGTTGTGTGTAATCCCATTTTTGCAGTCACTGCGTTAATCCATCTCATTGAGGATTTTCTCCCCTTTAGCTGAATCTCTTCATCAAGCATGTTATCTTTTCCTAGGGACTGGTTTACTCCTGAAAACATGCTCAAAGTATTTGAGTTAAAATCTCACCATCCTTGTTTCTAGAAAGCATCTTGGCTTCACTTCTTCCAAGTCAGATTTGTTTATTCTTTTGGCAGTCCGTGGTATATTTACACTATTCTTGTGTACCACAATTCAAAGGATCCCGTTCTTCTTTAGTCTTCTTTATTTATTGCCCAATGGCCACATGCATATATGAAGCAACTGAAAAGACCACAGCTTGGGTCAGGCACACCTTAATCTTTAAAAAACATCCTTGCTCTTTAGCACTTTAAAGAGGCTCTTGGCAGCAGATTTACCAAATGAAACACATAATTTTATTTGATTCTTGTGCATCCAATCAGGTTACGTTCATGTGTATATTCACCATTTGTGTTACTGAAATAAGGTATTTGCAATGGAAAGGTCATTGGTCTTGCAAAGTCTTATCATGTGATCGTCAGTGCCATTTCTATTAATGAGGCCATATTTTCCTTCTTTCATTCCAAGTTTCACATTCCAATGACTGGTAATTATCAATTCTTAATAATTGATAATTAATAATAATAATTAGTAGTATTATGCATCCTGTGTGTCTGATCCTTTCCAGACGGCAGAAGTTGATACAAATCTTCAATGACTTTCTCTTTGGCATTAGTGGTTGGTGCATAAACTGAAATCATAGCTGTACTGACGGGTCTTCCTTGTAAGTATATTGATCTCACTGACAGTGTGTATTTCAGGATGGACCTTGAACTAGAGAAAGATCCAGAGGTGTGTACTACACACAGTGCCCCATAAGGTTGCAAGCAGGTAGTGCTTTTGGCACGAACTCTAAGCTCACCTTGACCTTTTTTGTGCTCATCCACGGCCATACACTCCACCTTGTCCATCAACCCGCAACCTCACTGTGCAAATGAGGAAACTGAGGCTCATTTCCAAGGCTTTTTGTGCCATGCTAATGGAATGATTCCCCCCCCCCCAAACTAGCAGGCCCCTGAGACTTTGTTTTAATCACTCTGTGGTGTTGGCGGCCATGTCTCTTCACTCCTCTCTCTCTCTTCCTTCACTCCTCCCATCCTCCCTCTTTCCTGCCCACACTCCAGCCTCACCTCGGAGCCAGCGCAGAAGGAAGTAGTCATCTGGCTTGGGCAGGGTGGGCAGCAGGTCCTGAAGGTTCTCTCGGAACTGAGGGATGTAGAGTGACGGTCAGAGATACTCCCACAACACATGTTCCCAACCCTATCCCAGTCCCTCCCTGCCCTCAGGCAGCCCATTCACCCAGCAGAGGGGATCACAGATTAGCAGCAGCCACTCCTGGACCTTTTTGCCACCGGAAATAGCGCGTTGCCCCACTCCACCACAGAAAGAAGAGCGGGAACTCTTTAAACTCTGGGGTGCCCTGTGCCATAAAACTCTCACTCCATAGACCTGAGGTGAGACCCCAGCATCTTTATCTAGTCCAAAATCCCTGAGTGATATCTATGCAGGGAAATTAGAAAGAGTTGGGTATGTTGCTCTGAGACTGCGTTTTAGGAGGCAAGTTATTGAAACCGTGAGCCTCAGTTGCCACATCTGTGCAATGGGAGCAATGGTAACTCGAGCCAACGGAATGAGCTTGTGCATTTGAAGTTCCCTAGAATAGGAACTTGGCTTGGGTTAAATGTGGGCACTCAGCAAGTGTGGAAAGACTGAAGCTCAGGGCAGTGGAGTTTGTGTGCAGAGAACTGAGACAAAGATGGGCAAGGAGGGACCTGAGAGAGACTCCATTAGTAAATCTCTCAGGGTTGTGCAGGGCAACCAGCTTGCTGGGGAACATTTCCTGGTGGCTGAGCTTGGGGGAGATGACAGATTGACACAGTGACTGCAACAATGGACTCGGGTACAGTGGAGATTATGAGGATGGTGCAGGACAGAGCAAGGTTTCAATCTGTTGTTCACAGGGTCACTGTGTGAGTCTAACAATAAAGGTGATGGCTGGAAGCTGAGCTCGGGACCCAGGGAAGAGACTTGGCTGTCATGGAGATGGAACAAACACAAAATGAGTACTAAAAGCTGAACACAGACATTCCCTGTGAGCCAGCTATTCCACTGCTGGGAATATACCCTGAGAGAATGAGAACTGGGGCACAAGTGGAGATTTGTACACCAATGTTCATAGCAGTGTTATTCACCATGGCAAGAACATGGGAACAGCCTACATACCCAACCTCCAACCACAACAGAACGGATGGAGACATTATGGTACATTCACACGATGGAATACTATGCAGCACACAGGAGCAATGATTTTGTAAATCACTACCTAACTTGGAAGGGACGGGGGAGCATCATGCTGAGTGAACTCAGTCTCATAAGGGCAAAGCTTATATGAGATCTTCATTGGAGAACTAAAAAGAGAACTAGTAAAATATGCATGAGGATCCAAAGGTAGGAAGGTAGGAGCAGAGGGGTGAGGACAGGTTGGGGGGAATCATAGGGTGGCACAATTTGATGGATGGAGGGAGGGTGAGTAAAGGAAATGGGAAGAATCTGGCAGGATCAGGAAAGACAGGGCAATAGTGGACATAATTCAACATTGATTAATTTTATAAAATATAATAAATTGGAATGATTGTATCAAACACAACTGAATGATGGTTTGTGTGAAACACAATGTATACAAACTTTGTAAGCAAGCCAATATAAAATAAAATTAAATTTTAAAAAAACTAAATGGAAAACAAAAAAGAGTGCTATGAAGTTCATACAGCGACCCCACAGCACTCCTTGGAATTCTCAGTGGATGGGATCTTTTTAAAATATATGATCAGAGGGAGCTCTGGTGGCCTAGTGGCAAGGAGCTGCAACTACAATCCAGAGGCGCACGGTTCAAATCCACCAGATGCTCTGCCGGGGAAGGAGGGACAATCTCCTCCTGTACCAGTCAGATCTGATTTGACGGTACACTCACACAAATATAAGATTAAAAAAAATAAAATATATGATCAGGTCTTTTTATCTGAAGCATTTTTGGGTGGATTTGAACCTCAATTATTGCTAATTGAGGTGTACACCTCCTACCCAGGGCTCCATCTACAGGAGCTAACAGAGATGAAAGCAAATTCAATGGCTGGGTTTGGGAAGAGTAACCTGAAAAATCAGCATTTGGGGTAAAAAAGCCCACAAGCCAACTTCCCTTAATGGATAAAGTTTACAATAAGAATGCATTCCTACTGGGGGTGGGGGTGGGTGGCTGGTCGGGGAGAGAAGTGCAGTAATGAATGAATGGAAATCCAAAATCTCTGTAAATGTTCATTAAAAATATTTTAAAAAATGATGTAAAATAGAATGTATATGAACAGTTGTAAGAAAAAACAATGTAAAAGAAAGATTTTATAAAACACAAGGTATATGAATGAAACATAATGTAATTATTATATGAAAATCAATAAAATATTAAAAAAAAAGAATGCATTCCTGTGTGGGTCACAGAATCAGAAGAGAGTTAACACAGTTTAAGCAGCTCTAGAGTTAACAAGCAATGATGGCATCAGGTGTAACAATCCCTGGTCCAAGCAGGAGGGTTTTCTTGGAAAGTAAGTACAGCCACTGGGCTCCTGGGGTTCTTTTTTTTGGAGATGGTGGTTAATGATGCCAGAGGAACGAGAACCCTATAGCACTCTTCCCTGAAGGTGATCCAGTGTCGCCTTCATCTCATCCTTAGGGTGGGTAAACTTCCTATCCTCACTTTTCAAGTGAAGAAACTCAGACTGAGGGCGAGAGGGAGGAAATGGCAGACTGGAGGCTTCCAACCTCAAGAATGCTGCATGTACCCTGTGGACATCTACGCAGTGGATGCTGGGGAGCCTCAGGGAAACCGAGGATGCCTCACAGGAAAGAGGATGGGCGATCTCCTCCTGTGTCGCCCACTGCCTCTGAAAACCAGCTGTCAGTTCCAACTCATCGCACAAAACAACAGCAGGAAAAGCAGCACCTGGCAGTGTGACTGGAGTCTTTGGGGATTGCAAGTAGACTTCTAATCTCAAAGGCTGGATGGAGGTTTGAATCCACTCAGGGGCACCTGGGAAGAAAAGCTTGGCATTCTGCTTCTAAAATGAAAGGCTTACAAATCGCATGGAGCAAGTCTGCCTGAGGTGATTAAAACCAGGTGAGGGGAAAGGAAGAAATCCTGCCTGGGTGCCTGTCCAGAGGCGTGGGCCCATGGGTGAACTCCCTCCTTTTTCCTGCTTTTCTGGGTTTCTTCCTCCAATTTAAAAAAATAGTGAGCATTTAAAAAATGAATAGCTGAAGAAATAAGAGGTCTCTCTGAAATAACTCATCTCCACAGGCCCAGTGCCATGTGCAAACAAGTCACAGGCAGCTGAGAGGGAGGCACTCACCAGGAAACCCCTTTCTCCTTCACCCTGAGCCCTTCCCCTTCATCTAAGAATTATTGCATAATTTGGAGACTCTGTCTCCTTCCCTAGGGCTCCTCCTCAGCCAGAAACACACACACCCATACCCAAGGATTAACCTGGGGGTCTTCTCATTCACCCAGGGATACCTCTGCTTTACTTGACGATCCATCCTTTATTTCAGGACTTCTTCCTTCACCTGCAAACCCTTTTCCAATTGGAGACCCCTCTTCTACACCCAGAAAAACTCCTTTCCCTGAGAACCCCCTCTTTCATCCAGGAACCTTCTTGTTCCTCCGAAACTCTCTCTTTCACACAGGATTCCCTTGCTTGCCCTTGGGGCTCCCTCCTTTTTCTGGGAACCCTCTTCATTCAGGGATACCTCCCCTTCACTTGAAGATTTCTCCTCTTCACTAAGGAATGTCTTCTTAACCTGAGCACCTCTTTCTCCACCCCTTTCTTTTCAGCCCGGAATTCCTCTGGGAAGTCACAGGTTCCTATCCCTGACTTGCTACTGAGGCACATAGAACCTCAACATTCTCCCTTCCCCAGGTCAGTGACACTCCCAAGTGGGGTCTGCAGAGTCCTGTTGAAATGGCCAAGCTTACATTTCCCTTTAAAAAAAATTAATAATAGAGAGGAGGCGTGGGCCCTGAGGAGTGCCAGAATCACAAACCAACCAAACAACAGCGTCGCAATCTGGACACGAGTGCTGGGTGGCCTACAGCCCAAGGCTGCCAGGTAGCTCGCTGGCTATGCCACTGACCCTTCCACAGCTCGCCCAACAGTGGGAGAGCCAGGGCCCCCAAAGAAGCTAGAGTCTAACTGCATAGCGCGGTGGTGGGCTGGGGGCACTGTCTGGAACGTGGGACAGGAAGATGGGCATGGAGCCCTGTCCTTGGAAGGTTGGATTGGGCCTGAGCTCCCCACCCCTCAAAAGGCCTCCCGCTCAGGGTCTTATGCACAGCAGTCTCTGCCCTGAAAGCCATCCTAGGAAGCAAGTCTGAGCTTGCCAAGGTTCGGTTCCCTCCTGGAAAGTGAGAGAATCCTGCAGGTATGGAAGCATCAGGTCGCGCGGAGGTCTCCCAGCTCTGATCACGTCTCCTGCCCAGTGTGCTCCTCACCTTGGCCAGCACCTCCTGCTGCCGGGGACTCAGGTCTCCAACTCGGCCGCTCATGGTGCCGCTGGGCAGCGTGCGGGAGAGCCTCCGTAATCCTGCGGCTCGGGCTCTCACCTACTCTCCAGGCGGTTTTTGCTGCGCTCGCCCAGCGCGCCCCTGATCTCACCCTGCGCAGGGTCCGCTGCGTCCCAGAGGAGTCCAGGCGCACAGATCCGTGCCCAGCGTCCAGGCGTCCTCGCCATAAAGATTGCGAGCAGTTCCCACGCCGGACAGAGGGCGGGGCGTAAAAGAGGGAGGCAGGCACTAAGGACTCATAGGTGTTTCAGACTGATGACACTTTGTACAAACCGACCTAGCCCCTTAGTGGAACACTACATCTTCCTAGTCAGTTCTCCAGCCCTTTCCCTCCCAGCTTGAAAACACTCTAGCTGATAGGAGAACCCTCATGTGCCAAACGGTTCTGTTCAGGATGGTTTATCCACTGCTGGTGGAATACATAATGAGGGCAGCTGCTGTGGGAAGCAGTTTGAATGCGCGCTCAAAAAGTTGATGGTGAGGGAGCTCTGGTGGCCTAGTGGCAAGAAGCTGCGCTGTAATCCCGCAGGTGGGCAGTTCGAATCCACCAGCTGCTACGCTGGAGGAGAGGCACTCTCCTCCTGTGCCAGTCGGATCCAACTCGCCAGTACACAACAAGGAAAGAAAAAGTCGTTGATAGAACTACCATATGTCTCGACGTTCCCAAATTTAGTTGTAAAGCCAGGAGTGAAGGCGGGAATCTGTGCATCAGCGTCCACTAGGGCACTTTTCATGGGAGCCTAAGGTGGGAAGGACTGAAATGTACATAAACGGGATGAGTGGAGGGGCACCATGGGGATTAAGGCTCAGCCAGAGATGCAGCTGAAATCAGCATGCCGAGTAAAATCAACAAGTTGCAAAAGCAGTTCCGCTTTGATCTTCTGGCTGTGAAATAGGTGAGTGGATGGAGATTTAAGATGAGTAATGGCTGGGGGGTGGTGGCGGGCGTGTGAGGCACTTATTGTTAAGGAGGGATTAACATTGTGTTCATTGTAGTTCCAGGGTTTGAGCTTGGGACCCGAGTCACAGTGAGAAGACAGGAGGAGGGGACAGTGGAGGACAAATCAAGAGCGTGGGGTGACTGAGAGGTTAGGAGCCCAGGGGTGGCAGGGGGCTCACGCAGGTGTCTGGCATGTATTCGGGGAGCCAGGAGGAAGTCCCTGGTGAAGGTGAGAAAACCCAAACTGGCTGAACATAAATTTTTGGAAGAAGAAGGTTGAGGTGGGTGGAACCTTTCTCTTGGTTCCTCCCACGGGTCAAACCAGACTCCAGCCCAGTAGTAGCTGTGGGAACCACAAGCCCTGTGTTTCTCTAGAGCTAGTAACGAGCTCCTGGCAATCTGCCGCCTATCCAGATGGTTTGGGGCTCTTTTTTTGGGGGGGTCTCCTTTTTTTGTTGTGTACTGTCGAATTGGATCTGACTGTCGCAGGAGGAAATTGCCCTTCCGTTTCCAGCAGAGCATCTGGTGGATTCGAACCACGCACCTTTGAGATTGCAGTGCAGCTTCGTTGCCACTAGGTCACCAGAGATTCCTATCCAGATGTTGTTGTTGTTAGGTGCCATCAAGTTGACTACAGCTCTAAGCGATCACAGATCCATGACTCTGTGAGTCACTGATGGGAACCTTGTCCCATCGTTGTGAGAGTAGCGTATGTATAAATGTAGATTGAATTGCAAACTCAAGATGATCCTCTATTGACTGTAAATCTTTATGAGGTGACTGGCCATCTTTCTCCCACAATGTGGCCAGGGATTCTAAGTGTAGACTTTTAGATAAGCAGCTCCATGCTTTAGGCACTGTGACACCAGGACTTTGGTATGAAAAGACCTTTAGGTTTTGTATTGGGCACATGCCAAAGAGACAACATCCTGAGTTACACGTTATATTGTTAGATGCTTTCGAGTCAGAATCGACTTCTAACTGACCCTCCAGTCGATTTTCAGAGGCTGTAAATTGCATGGGAGGAGACTGCCCATCTTTCTCCCTTGGAGCTGCTGGTGGATTCGAACCATGAGCCTTTGGGTTGGAAGCACAACGCCTTACCACTAGGCCACCAGAGTATACAAATTCATTTCAAAGGTATCTTTTTTTTCCCTTTTTGACAAAGATAGCTGCTGGAAATTTTGAAATTACCTACATGGCTTGTTAATGTGTGTCCTTTGGACAAGCACTGTACTAGACAGATCATGAATCTTTGAAAGGTTAGGCTGTAGAAAGCGGTAAAAAAAAAATAATGTAGTCAGGGTGGGTTGCACACAGAAGTAAAGGCAGGAATCATAAGGAGAAAAGCCATTGGTTTGACAACAAGAAAATACAAAAATCTATTAAACAAGAAATTGAAGGAAAGCTTTTAAATCCGTATTTGCTGGTGGGAATTTGGGAGAAAGAAAATAGACAAAAACGGAGGGTTGGGGTGTTTTATTTTTGGCTTAAAAACCCCGACATTTATTATTCTCTTACAGTTTAAGATCTAGAAGTCCAATAGGTCTTCAGCATCCCTTGTCCCCATTAGCATCTGTAGGCCCGTCATTCCCCAGAGATTTCCACCTGTTCTGGCCTTTCCTCCTATCAAGGAGGTGTACCACTTCAGGCAATTGTTTTTCACTGATACTAAGGGTCTCCCAGTCTCAGTTTGCTTTCCTCCCCTTTTATCTCTTCTTAATTGATGCAATAATTGATAATAATAATTGATAGTAAATAATTGATGCAAGTGGATAAGAAAACAGTGAGTTTAACTATAAAAAGGAATGTAGGCTTGCTACATCTGCCTGCATGGATGGACTTGATATTATGTGAGGGGAAAGGGAGACCCAACAGCCACCTAGTGTATCATTCCATTCGTGTGAAATAGACAAGTCCATGGAAACAGAAAGCAGATGCAGAAGGAGAGGGATGAAGAAAGAATGTTGTTGTAGCTGTTGTTATTGTTATGTGCTGTCGAGTTGCCTGTGACCCATAGCAACCCTATGTACAACGACTCTGAACCCTGCCCTGTCCTGAGCCAGTCTCATTGACTCCGATACATCTACCTCCATTGCCTGTTACTGAGTCAATCCATCTTATCTGGGGTGTTCCTCTCCTGCAAGGTCCCGCCACCCTTCAAAGCACGATGTCCTTCTCCAAAGACAAGTCTCTCCTGGCCATGTGCCCAAAGTATGTGAGACGGAGCTTCAAAATCCTAGCCTTCAAGGAGAAACTTGATTTCACCCTCTCTAAGACAGGCCTGTTTGTTTTCTTGACAGTCCATAGTATGTTCAAGACTCTTCTCCAGCATCACAACTTGAAGGTGTCAATTCTTCTGTCATCCTTAGTCATTGTCCAGCTCTCTGAAGCATAATAACCAGTAATTGCAAAGATCATGGCCTGGATTAGGCACATCTAGAGAGTATTCCCTGGGATTCTGGAAAGACATAGTGGTGATGGTTGCAAAACACTGTAAATAAATAAATGCCACTGAATTGTGTACTTTAAAATAGCACAGCTTGTATTGTATTGTATGACAGTTAACAAACTACTTTTACAAAAAGATTGTCAAGATATTCTTTTACTTGGACCCATAATAAATACCCATGGAAGGAAAGGTTGAGAAATCAAACCATGTTTTGCAACAGGCCAAACTGCTGCCAAGGACTTCTCTAAAGTGGTAAGGAGCAAGGATGTCACTTTATGAAGCACTGTTTGCCTGACCCTAGAGCCCTGGTATTTTCAATTGCTTCATATGCATGTGAAAGCTGGTCAATGAGTAAGGAAGACTGAAGAAGAATGGGTGCCTTTGAACTGTGATGTTGACAGAGAACTATACCACAGTTTGCCAAAGGAACAAACAGATCTGACTTGGATGAAGGGAAGCCAAGATGCTTCTTAGGAGTCAGGGTAGTGAGATTCCATCTCACATACCTTGGGCATGCTGTCAGGAGGGTCAGTCCCTGGAGAAGGACACCATGCTTGAAAAAGTAGAAGGTCAGTGAGAGGGAGGAAGACCCTCTGTGTGGTGGGCTGACCCAGTGACAGCATTGATGGGTTTAAGCACGGTGGAGGTTTTGAGGATGGCACAGGATAGGGCGGGATTTTGTTCTGTTGGGCATGGGGTCGTGAAATTCAGAGTCAACTTGGTGGCATCTAACAACAACAATAACAACAGCAACAGCAACAACAGCACTTCCCTGTGACAATCTCAGAGGAGTAGGAAAAGTCTTATTTTTTAAAAAATGCTGCAGGTAAAAAAAAAAAATGCTGCAGGTAACAAAAATAGTGACCTCCAGAGAGAATTCTTTATTTAACCAAGACAAACACATTTCACAGGCCGAGCTCTATTCTAAGGGCTTCGTAAACATTGGCTCATAGCAATCCATTAGCAATAGAACGCAAGCTACATATTAACTTCAGGTTACTTCACTCAAACCCATTCACTGCTATGGGGTTGGAACCAACTCACAGCTGACCCTCCATTGGGTTTCTTTGTTTTTAGGGTGTGGTGTTTTGTGTTTTGTTTTGTTTTTTCTTTTCTTACATAACTCATGGTTGCTGTGATGCTAAACACTGTGACATTGATATGTTAAATGCAATAATGGTTACCCGTGGTGGTCAGTGTTTGGTGGAGCTCCCCGATTAAAACAAGCTTGGAAGCAGGAGTGGCATCCACTTCTGAAATAGTTTGCCTTCGAAACTCTATGAACTTGGAGAAACGATGAAAGTTACACAAGTGTTCAGGTCTTTCGTTCATACGGTAGCTATGAGTTGTCTACGACTGTACGGCACTTAACAGCAGCAACATGGAAATAGTTTATTCCCCCCTCCCATTTTTTCAATTGTTATTGTAATGAAATTTTACAGAAAAGTTTTATTTTCATACATTTATGGTTATACATTTTCCTCCCTATTCACTCCAGTTCATTTAAAAAAGAAAAAGTATTCATTCACTGTATAATTTCTTCCCTTCCTTCCCTACCTCCCCTCCCTCCAGTTCACATTGCTATACACC